CTCTTTTTCTCCCACCTCTTCTCCCCGCTGCCAGCCTGCAGCCTGATCTCAAGCAGCCCCCTCCCCCTCTCCTGCAGGGGGGGCGTGGGTCAGCTGCAGCTCCAGAATCAGCCCCCCTGCCAAAAAACAAGGGCCTGGATAGCAGGGCAAATAAAGCTAAATGAAGGCATGGCCCTAAAATGCGGATCTGCTTTTGGTATTTTTTATTTTAAAAGGTATTGGCCCTACAATATATGTTCAATATAGCATGATATGTTTCCCCTTTTAAGTATTATAAGTAGGGTTATGTTGCTCTCAAGTGACCAGATTGATGCTTTTAACTTCAATATTAAAAAAAATTTTCTCCCGGGGGGAGCATGCCCCCAAGACTCCCCTTAGAGGATGTTTTGGTTCCCACCCCCCACCTGTAAAAAATAGCACTTTACCCTGCACCCACCAGCCACCACCCCCCCCTCCCCCTCAACAACTCCTGGGCTAAGCCCCGGATCTCCTACAATCCTAAATCCGCCACTGCTGACCATGCTACAGATGTTAGTGCAAAATCTACAGCTCCTCCTCTACCACAACCATTAGCAACAAGTGGACATGGAGAATTACATGAACTACATGTTGCTAAATCCACCGCGGGGCATAAACAGAAGGGCAACCATGGCAACCATGCTCGGGGGTCTTCTTCGCTGCTTTTGGTGTATTTTGTGGGGGAAGTACAGCGCCACTTACAGGCCCGGCATATGTACTACAGCGTCCCGCTTTCGAGCGGTCTCGTGTGAACGGAATACTTTTTTGATATTGTATTCCGTTCGTTTGCGTTTACGTATAAATGGGGTCTTAACTTCCTATAAAAATAAGACAACATGCCTTTCTCCATCGCTTTAGTCTGAAGGCCGCAGTTTCTCTCTGTTACCCCGCTTTTTAAATATATATCTTTGTTTCTCTTCACGTTTTCACATTCTCTTTTTCCTACAATGTCTTTATCAAAAATTCGGATTTTAAATGACCCATTGATTTCCTTTTTCGCATTGTTACTTGTCTTTTTGTGAATAAAGTGAAAAGAAACTTTGGATTTCCTTTCAAAACTGAGCAGATGGAGTGAATGCCCACACTTAACTAGTTTCCCTTTGTGTTATTCTATCTAAAACTAGCTAACTTGTTTCATACTGTATGTTAAAAACCAATTCAATGTGAGAGAGATTGTGAGGTACATTTTCAAAAGGGAAAAGTTGAGAAGAATGAACAGGACTTAATAA